TTTATGCGTCTTTAACCGTCGAAAGTATAACTCGTGCGGAAATAAATATCGAGAGTGTCGAGAATAGTGATGTGCGATCGCCGGGGCGTATCGTGAAGATGTCATTTATAAATAATCTTCTCGTTTCTCCTCGCGATATATGTAAGGTGACCAGATTTCCCAGCCCTAAATTCAGGACACTTCATAAATGTGTGAAGCGGGGGGAGGGCGGTAAAAAGATTCGAAAATTATTTGACAATCATTGAAAATGATAACAAATTGGTGTCTCGAATAGCACTTGAAAAAATTCGAGACAAAGAGTGAAAAATTTGGACGTCTGATCACCTTACTAAACACGACGAATCGAGTCGAACGACACAATGTATCAGTAATCTATCCTTGTTTCAATACTCAATATCTAATAAACTTAACTCGTTTGTGCCGTAATTATCGCTCAATTCGAGGTACGTATATCGTTTAAGTATATGTAAACCGAATATTTTCCGCGGAAAGCTTAGGTTAGAAGAAGAGGGAAGTGCGCGCATTTTGATTAGCTCTGCGGCGCGTCAAGTAGTTCCCTGGCTATTCAAGTGTACTCGGGTATCTCGCCAATCAGTTCGCGCTGGAAGTGAGACGTTCGTGACGAGCTAAGACAATATTCTCGAAATTTCGTTCCGAAATCCATAACTGTGATACTCGCCGGAAGAAAGAAGGAAAGAGGAAGATCATGGGAAAGTATGTCGTTGAAGAGAACAGATTTCTAGACAGACACGAGCAAGGCAGGTACGTGTGTGCTGAGTCACGAGTCGAATCGAACGACATAACGTAACAACCATCCATTCTCGTCTTAAGACTCGAACAAAATTAACTCATTTCGGCAATTATCATTTTATAATTATCATTCACTTCGAGATATCTATTGTTTAAGTATGTATAAACCGAATATTTTCCGCGGAAAGCTTAGGTTAATAGTAAAGGGGAAAGTATTTTCGTTAGCTCCGCGGCGCCTTCGGATAGTTTCGTAACGACTCGGGTGTATTCGGGCATTCGGGCCATTACGCCGATTCGCGCTCGAAGTACGACGCGTTTTCGTGACAAGCTAAAACAGTATTTGCAAAAGTGTTTACTCAGAAATCCATAACGCAACTGTAACACTCGTCGTAGGGCAGCAGGGAAGAAGAAGATCGCGAGGAGGTACACCGCTGAAGAGAACAGATTCTCAGATAGACGCGATCAGAGCAGATATGTGCGTGCCGAATCACGATGAGATGGACTGAACATACAACGCACTAGTAACAATTCATTGTTGTATAAAAACTCTTGACATAAGGTAGGCACGATACGCCGGCAACTGTCGCAGAAGCAAAACAATCGTAGGTACGTAACGGCCGCGCGACCAAAACATTGCCTCAGGAGTAATGGCCTAACCTAGCGAGTCGGCTGGCGGCGTCGCGCGTCGCGTACGTAACAACACATTCTTTGTCAAGCGGAGCGCCGAGTAAGACGCCTCGCTGCTTCGCGCCCATTGACGACTGTATTCGGACGATTTTCGACAGCGCCGGCATATTGGAATGTAACTATCGATCTTCGTATCTATTAGTTTATTATATCTAATAATATTTAGCACACTTTTAAGTTGAACATTAAATTTAATACACTTAATAATTTTATTAACGTTAAAACGTCAGTGTCAGAGTGACGATGTTGCTTTCTTAATTATAAATTGTTTTGTAATCAGATAACTATGTGCTATTAAGGAGATGTCTGATAGAAACAAGCAAATATAAAAATAGTGGAATACATTATTATACTCTACTAGAATAATTCTAAGAACATCATTTAAGGTGGAATTTATTTATTATCTGTATGATGTTTTGCAAAACGATTTAGATATCATATTTAAAGTATCGGTTACTTATTTTACATATAACTTATTATAATTAGCAGTTTAAATACAGACAAAGCGTTAAGAGAGAAATATATACAGAGGCATCTCAAAAGTAAATAGACACCATAATTTTTAAATAATTATTTATTATACTTTATTATACTTTATCAAATAAATAACGACAAAAATCATGTTGTTTATTTATTTTTAAGATGTCTATATACAATTAGTAGTTTTAACAGCTATCACACACATAATGTAACTAATCAAGAAACTTACTTTTTGTTCTAGATCATCTCTTTATTCCTGGCGATTGTCGTGGTTGGATCATTCTTGGCAATGGCAATATCTGACAATATTCTGGTAACTATCACTCTTCATATTTATTAATTTAATATTCCGACTGTTAAGCCATACTCAGAATGATGATATTGTTTTCTCTGTTTATAATTTTATTTAGTATATGTAAACATATGTAAAATAGAAACAATCAAATTACAAACTACATTAAAATTACTTAAAATTACAAACTACATGTATCAACATAATTAATCAGCAAATTTACTTTTTGTTCCAGATCTGTCAGAGCTTTCGGTTACATGTTGATGGTTGTGGTTTACTGAGGATGCAGTTTTAATAGACGAGAATGTCATATCGGAGGATCCGATTCGGGCATAGCAGGGTCGATCTGAAGGTAAGCTTACAGAGTTTACATACTTTTTCCTGTAATTATTTGCAATAAAATTACAATGAAGTTTTTGGAATAAAAATTGTCTAGCGTAAAGAATTAAGATACTTATATTTTCGTGAATCGTCTCGTTGAAGTTAATCCATGTATCTAATTGATAAAAATATATTTTCTATTCCAGATCTGTGGACGGAGCGTGGTCGGTCCTGCAAGTCCAGTGAGTCATGAAAACAAACTATTTGAGGTGATGGGTATTTGTAGCATTCGTCGTTAATCAATGCAATCTACTTAGGCTTATAGAATGTTTGTGTTGTACTGTCCACCAAAGTACATTGCTTGAAACAATCAGAGCCAACACTTCTTTGATTTCAAATCACATGCATAATAAATATTAAAGATATTAAATTTGAATATAATAGACGTAAATGTAATAAAAATTTTTGAAGAGATAACATATATATTCAAATTATATATTTTAATATAAAATATATAAAAATATTTTAATATTAAATTTTTAATATTAAATTTTTTTTAGATAGCTATTTTCAATGTGCGATCTCTTAATTGTTTCAAGCAGTGTGCGTCAAATATACTGTGTGTGCCAAACGAGCACACTGTCAGAAAAACGCAATGTGTGCCAAATGAGCACACTGTCACAAATGCGCAATGTGTGCTAAATGCGCATCAAAATTGCGCTACTATACGCGGAATTCGCGATTATCTACTTCGTTTGGAATAAAGTTTGGAATTGTTACGGTTATTACGCGAGTCAAATTTTTAAATTCAATGTTATTTTTGCAAATTTTTCAGTAGAGTACAGTTATTTTGCGGAACAAGATATTTTTTCTCTTCTTCTCGAGCTTGTCTTATCGCGATATTTTGCATGCAATTCGCGACTTAGTAATTTCTCAAATTTTTTATGAATTTAAAGAGTTATGATAGCGATTTAATTGAACTTATCGTCCAATTCTATACATATATTTTCGTTTCTTTTAAAAATTAGAGATCTCATGAAACGGAATTTTGTTTTTTGATAGAATATAGTTTACTCGCAAAATAGGATATCTTCTTTTCGCTCAACTTCGTCACAATCAGCGTGATTTGCGGTTCGCGACTCGAGTATATCGAGTCACTGGAATACATTTTCAGGGCACAGGAACTCATCGCATATTTTTCGTTAAATTCTGTTTCGTGTCGAGTGCCGTTAAAATTATCGCGGTCACGTGTACAACGAAATGTAAATTTGGGAAATTGATTTTTCCTCTCAATCGTATCGTAATTGACATAATCTTCAATTTAAAACTTTTTATACGCGATTCACAACTCGAGTAAATTTTTAGGCATTCAAGTTTTTCGCGTATTTTCCATAAAATTTCGCGTCACGACAAGCACTGTTGAAATTATCGTGTTCGAAGTGCAAGAAGTGAACTTTGGGAAACGGATTTTCCTTCTCAACCATGTCGTAATTGCCGTGATCGCCAGTTCACGACATCACGCGATTCAGGAGTATATTTTCGAAAATGTTGAAAGTTATAGCGTATTTTTCACGAAATTTCGTCCCACTTCAGTGCCATTTAAATTATCGCGGTCGCGAGTGCAATAAACTGAACTTTGAGACTGAAAGCTGTCACAAGTGATCGACATGGGACAACGACGGGTTGCTGAGCGTCGCAGTTGAGATGACCTGGATCCTCTCTTGGACGCCGCTGAAGATTAACAGAATGGTGAGTGAACATTTTGAACGCTTATTAAGCGTCACTTTATATATAGTTCCATATTCTGAACTCTCTTTTATTACTAAAAGCATATCTAAAATGGCTTATAGCTATATTAGAAAATAGTTTATAACCAATCGGAAGGCCTATGAACCACTTTTAGAATTTTATTTTTAGCGAGAGGTAAAAAACTTTCTTTATAAAAGAGAGTTCAGAATATGGGTCGTAGTGCTTATTAGACGTAGATCGCATTGATTCCCGACGAGAAAATGTATTGGGTTGTCAAAAAGTTCAACACGATTTTTGAATTAAATTTGACTTTGTCGCATTCAATTGAAATAAATTATTTGTCAACCAAGTTATTGTTCTCGTTGTTTGTGACAACTTGTTTTCCAACAAAATTGTTTGCCAACGTTCTGATAGCATTTATGTATCTTTATAATAAAAAATGATTGATTTATTATTTAAAAAATGGTATTAAAACTCGAACTGAGCTTTTGATCGACCTAATACATTAATGACGCGCTATATAGTGCCTAGCACGATTTAAAAAGCGAGTAGCAGCGATACGCGCACTCGTAAAGCTAGGCAACCAAACAACAATAATGCGTCAGATATGAACATGCTTATTATTATTATCATTTGACATTGCTGTTTAAAAATGCGATTTGAAAAGCGAGTAGCAGCTATTAACGCGCACTCGTGGAGATAGGAGGTCAGTTGACGATTATGCTTTAAATAAGAATTTTTATTGCTATTCAATATTGTGCGAAAACAAACATAACGCGCGAGTAATTAGCGAACGATAAAATAGCAGTAACAATGATTAAAAGCGTATGTACAGTTTCATTCAGGTCAGTTGATACATTTCCTCGGTTTCCCCTGCCATGAGCAGTGGTGGAAATGATTGGCAACAATCATCGAGCTCGCGAGAGTCATTTGCACGCGCCGTGATATGGCTTCATAGCGTGTATCATTAGCACCCACAATGTCCGTCGGCTTTTTTTTTTCCGTCGGCGCTCGAATCTAGAATTACGCAATTATGCCATTGCGCAAATGCGGATATCCATTAATTAAGTGTCGACCGGCCGCGTTTTCCGGACTTTCTCGATTTTTCCACTTTAATCCGCGACAAAGTATTCGAAATTGATCGCGCCTTACTAAATATCCGACATCACGGCTAAATGGTTACACTATTCTCTGCACTACTAAAGAATCAATAATCCTCATCGATTACCGCGCGAGAGACGATCATCGAGAGACGATCATCGAGACGCGAATGCTAAGTCAATGTTATTCCTCGATCGTCGGACGTATCGGTTCAGCCAATCTGTATTACTTGTGAAGTATGAGCGAAGAGTAAAAGTACTAACAAAGTGTGTCAATATTAAACCCGATAGCGTTACAGTCACCGGCTACAGACGTGCGCAACGTGCGGCCTTCGTAAGCGATACGATCCTATACTTCCTCTCGAGGGCACGACTACTGTCGCGGACTCGCGAAGTCGGCGGGATGGAAATCGCGAGTCGGATACTCGAGCAAAAAATAAACGGTGCAAGGACGAGTCTGCTGAGTAAATCTCGATAATCGTCGATTGCCGATAATGCACTTCGCGAATACTGCTTCTAGCGTTTGATGCATCGCCGCGGTATGCATCTCGTTAGCCTCTTCCTGTTGCTCTTCGTCGGGATATCGGTTATTCTGACCCTTGAGTACACGATGGCTCGCGCACGTGCAATTTTCCAAGTTTTATATTTCGACTCGTTGACAGCGAGCATACCAAACAATCGTGATTGTCTTGGTCTCTCTAATACGTGATTATGTTCTCGAGAATACATGAGTGTGATTTATACACGGAAACGTTTGGTTGGATTAACCAGATTTCTGGTTAAATATGAGCGGAGCACAAAACTCCGGTTGAAGTTACTAGAATTCTGTTCAAATTAAACAGAAATTTTGCCAACTAAAGAACTTATTAATCCAACCAAACTTCTTTTTCCGCGTGTATCTGTTGTATGATTATTACTCGAAAGATCTATTTATAAACTTTGTTCTAATAACTTATCTAAGATCCGTATTAATAGTTCTTACTTGAAATTTATCTCACGTGAGATATTCAGAATTTCCATCCAATCAGAAGTTATATCAATATATTTTATTTGAATTATACGATATTCCTGATATTATATTTATACTCGCGGTTAAACTAGAAAGTTCACACTTGCCTATAAGGCTCATAATATCAATCCTCACTTAAAATTTGTTTTATGTGAGACACTCACATCTCAATTTCAAGTTACACCGCAGTTTTTTATTGGAATCATATGATATTCGTGATATTATAATTAATTACTGAAAAATTCACACCTAGCTCTAAATTCAGATCTGAACATCTCACTTGAGCCAAATTTCAAGTAACAACGGCTATTGACGGCTATTTAACGGATTTTAGACTCATGTTAATAGTTATTATTTGAAACTCGCCTCAAGTAAGATAAATTTCAAGTAACGATTATTAATACGACTTTTACATACATAAAACATACACCAAGCTAAAGTGAAGTTCAAATCGCGGTTTGGCACTTATCTATTTAAAAATCGCCGGGTTAAAAACAACTCGCGGAGTTGATTGACCGACAACGTAAAAGTGGAGGGAAGTGACAACTGTACCGTTATAATTAATTATGTTATACTTCTGAATCGACTCTACCCTATTCGCGAAAAAAAAATTGTATACTTTAAGTATGGGAGCAGTTACGCACTATATGTATGTACACATACACACACACACACACATCAATGTCAATTCTAACTATTAACCCTAGAGACGACTTGTCGATTGTTCGGCTCGTTTGGATGAAATGTCCGTTGTAGTTGGATGTAATTTTTAGCGAATGATCGTTAATATGAGAAACAGTAGGTCTCTCTCTCTTCCGCGCGAATCGCGAGAATTGAAACCGTTTCGACTGGTCATCATCGGCGAGGGATCGGTGAGAACGGAAGATCGAAGTCCTGCGTGCGGTGATTCGTTCGTACGAGCTCCGTGTTCTTATCGTCGGGTTTGCATTGTTATGTCGGGTATGAAGGCCTGGTGCGGCGCGATGCCATCACGTGGTCATCTCCAAGTATCCCTTGGCCTCTATGGAGCCGTAGCTGTGTGAGTAACGACCGCTGTACGACGCCCTGGACCAAGCTCCGGCCCTGTTCGAATAGCTGTTGCACGCGAACAGGGAATTCATGCCGCCAGGTCTGTCGATCGGCATACTTTGGCCTCGTGTGCCGTGACGTGAACTGCTGCTTCTCGAACGGCTGCTGTCCGTCAGTGGTGTCCTGGGGTCCTCGTCAGCGCCGACCTCGGTATACGGCTTGGGTTTGCGAGAGCAGCTCAAGTACAGCCCAGCTATCACGGCCTGCGAATCGCGCGATTAATTATTCGTAGCTCGCCGCCGCGCATCTTACAGACGTCGCTAACGTTCAATTATACCGATACTTGACCGTTATTTTTTTTTTCAATAATTATACTAACTACGACTAGGTGATTTGAGACGAGGTAAACATTGAACTTCTCTTAATTGAATATTACGGGACTTCTTTCGCGATATAACCCGGAACTCTTCGATTTATATTTGAAATATACACAGACACGAAATACTTGACCACGTGAAATGAAATTTAATGCGAAAGATGAAAGGATATGGTATCCAAAATGATACGCGATGCGACTTCAATGCAAAGTGAGCGATACATACCACTAGCATATGAAGCAATATGATGAACATAGAACCATTTCTGAATCCGATGTTATCCAATAGAATTCCCGCCACGCTAGGGCCGATGAAGGCTCCTAAGGCGAAAGTACTCGTCCACAATCCGCTCACGAGACCATAAGTCTCAATACTGTTCGGGAATCCGTACGATCTTGACATGAACAGTACAAAATTAATAGGAGAAAAATATTTTATACTCACCTATGTATTTGGCGTCATGGCGTATTTTCAAAAATGTATTTACATATGTGTTTTAACAAATTACGCGAACGACTAAAATTGTACTTTGAGTATTAGAATCACTCTTTTACGCAACTTACACTGATGTCCTCAAGGCATCGGTGAAGCTGGCAACCAGTTGTGCTGCCATACCTAAGCCGTGTATCACAAGCCCGCAAATGGTTATCCAGATTATGGTGGGTAACGGGATAAAGGGTGCGGGGCCAATTAAAGAGAAACCGATCATTACCAGGATGCACCCAGCGACAGTTGCAACCTGAGGGATACCATATCTTTTTAACACCGACGTTTGCACGCAAGGTGCGCTAGAAAACTAAATCATTTAATTGAAACTATTGAGGCCGATCGAGCTGAACACTCGAAAGCGTTTGGAACGTAACGTAATTTGTTTCTACGAAATTACTTTGGGGTGCGAGTGCTTGTCGCAAAGCCAACCCCACACTGGCGCAGCCAACGCGTACGTGCCGCCGTTAATGACGAACATCAACCCCAACACGACAGGGCTCAGGTTAAATTGCCTCAAGTGCGGCTCCAAAGTCGCTTGTAGAAATCCGATGCTCACGCTCGTCGCGATTATCGACATGGACGCGATCAATACGCCGGGGATTTTGAGGAGTTTTCCTACCCCTGCAAATCATGAAGCGATTAGGATGCAACTCGAGTCATACGCTCAAGTTATCCGTTTGAATCGTACCTCCGTTGTTGTGGGCATCTTGTACGCGGTCGTTGTGAACTGGTAGGACGAACGCAGTCATAACAGCTGCCAGGAACAACGCCGATCCGAGCACTACGAACGGAGTCGTGTATCCACCAACCTAGCGTATCCGTGTTTTACAAAGGTGAATTAAAATTTATGAAGAGCGAATGTGGACGTGAAAGTGATAGGAATATTAATAGTTAGGAATGTCAGTATTAACAATATTAACTGTTTGAGGATTGGAAACGTGAAACTTAAATTTTTTATAAACCTTGAGAACCGGAAACATCGTGTCTTTAAGGGAGAAGAGGGCGAAACGCAGTATATTTGTAAATTTTGCTTGGTACTTTTTCACACGAGATAATATTTTAGATTGCATTCTAAAACTTCTTATTTTGAAGGAAATTTTACTGGAAAAATCTATATAGTTCACATTACATATATACTATATAGATATATTGTATACGGATTGTCAGTAAAATTTTCCTGAAAAAAAGATATTTTTGAATATATACGTTTTATATATATATATATTTGTATTATAAAATTACATTACGATATACTAAAAATATAAAGGTTACTAATAAAGGCGTTTCCTAAGCTACTAGAAGTTGTAATAATATTTAAAGCTCGAGGTTTGCGACGTCTGGTAGTAATGTCTTTTGTCAGAAATTAAGTCACAGTTTAGAGCTTAGAGTAGAAGTCTAAAAAATTATTACATCTATAGTAGACCAATATTAGAATGTTAGAGCTACCGCGACTCGAAATTAATGCCACGAACGATCAAGTGGGTTGCTTAACACATTATGTTGCGTAAAGTCTATCGATATATTCGAAGTCTAAAAATACGAGGAATATCTTGATTAGTATAACGTGTGTGCACTGAACGGTACCTGATAGAGTGCGCCACCCACGGTAGGACCTACGATAAGTCCCAAGCCAAAGAAGGTTTCCAAACTGGCGAATGTCGTAGCGACATTGTTGGGGAACTCCTTTGCGATAATGGCGAAACTGGCCGTCAAGAACGCGCCGTTTCCCATCGCCTCTACGATCCTGATCACGAAAGACAGGATTATGAAGGGATAATGACCATTGACTTTGTCCAATAACCCAAAAAGTATAGCGCATGTTGCCGTGGTTAAGATACCGCCGTTAAACAATATCTTCGGGCCGATTTGATTGAGCTGTCAAAAATACAACACACGCGATTCGTTATTAATTCAGTTGCGCGATTTGATTCTCGCTCGCGAAAAGTATAAGGAGCGATCTGAAGGGATTCAAGTTTGAGAATTCAAGTTTGAGGATTCTTTAGAATATTCTGTGTACACGTTTTCCTTTTTAGATATAGAATGAAAAATAGAAAAAATTCGACGTGTAGCGCACACGATGCAATTTTTAATTTTGCAAATAAAATTGACGCGTAACTCTTTCTCAGGAAGACTTTTCCTCGCGATATTCAATCGAAAAGCGAAATGTATATTTTGTAGGACGCTCTAATGAATAATTTTCGCCAAGTGTACTCGTACACATTATCTTTGTTTACGCGAAAACACGATTGTGTTTTATCGAGACTTGTAATAATCAGCGAGCCTGAGGAACGGCAGACATCGGCGTCGTTGTGCAGAAACTTCGACCGTCACGTAGGCTCACTCGAAGTGGCCCCGGAGTTCGCATACTGAAAGATGTACAAATATCTTTATCATTACTTTGTCGTGCATATTTCCACAGAACTGGAATCGCCACGACGATAGCCATAACATTCGGCACGGATATTTCCGCGCTTGAGATTAAATATTCATCGTGCGAAAGGGTCGGAAAGTGAACAACTTACAATCGCGCGTACAGCGAAGATATTCGCGAGAAAAACAATTTACTATTTACAGACAACCTTGTGTTTCGATATTATTTGATGTGCTCTCATTGCCGTTATTCGTCGTGCTCGATCTCGAAATTAGCATCGTGTGCGTTACACTCGCGCTAATTATGCCACGCTAATTGTGTCACCCACGTGTTGTCCGTAAAGCGGGCTGATGATGAAGACCACCAGTTCAAAGATACCGAAAACCAATCCATATTCCGACGGTGACGCGCCTTTCTTCTCCGCCTGCGAAAAAAAAGAAAAGGAAAAGCGTTCGTGTAAAATGTAATACACGCATCAGTTTGCCGTCAACGACTCGAGATTGCCGGCAATCCGTAGGCGCGTCGTGCTACGCAGAAACTCGGTCCATTATCTCGTCGCATTGCAATTAATACTCGTCGAGATAATATCCCGATAAACTTTGGACACTGTTCACGCGTAAGATTACAGGCCGAATTATCGAATGTCGCGACGCTGCGTTCGGCCATGTCGCGGATAGATGATGAAAACACCTCCCAAGACGCGAAAAACTACGAGTCTTTTTTTATCTTCAGCGTCTCGGAAAATCGGAGGTTCAAGCTGGGACATCAATTCGGTCGATCGTAATCCTCATTAACACTCTCACTTAACATCCTCATTAAGCGAGACATTTGACCTCAGTATTGTATACTAAGAAAAGAATACTCGAAAATTTGTTTGTGGGATATAAAATTTATTTTTACGAGTAAACTTTACATACTGCAAATAAATTTTCAAATATCTTTTTTTTAATGTAGCAATTGAAATAGTTTACGAGGACGTGATTGAAAAAATAATTAAACATATATTTAAAAGATAATACTAATTAATTATTTTAGAATAATTTTCGAATAATTAATTGTTTTCTTTTATTTATTATTTGTTCTCGTACTCCGGGTAGAATAGGCGTTATATTTTTATCTTTCAAGCAAAAAATCCGACTTTCGTAAAACACATACAGAAAAAATATTGCGATAAAAATTGTCAACACATTATATTTCTTTTTATAAAGTTATTTATAAAGTTGTGCAGAATTTGTAGTATAAATTACTATAGAGACGGTAAATTTTACGATCTACCTGATATATAATTATACCTGGTATATAATTCAAGTAATTACAATAATTTTGTAGCGAAAAGTCAAAGGTGTGTAACATTTTTAAATAAATACTTTATAATTTTGATTATTATTATGATAATTATATGATAATTATTATTATGATTTTTATGATTATTATGATTGTTATTATGATAATTTATATTTTGATAATTAATATGTACAGTGCAAGATCCAAGATTACAAGAATCTTATTGTAATTTTTACTGCATTTTCTTTGTATAAACTGAATCACAAGACGGTTTGGACGCATTTCGAACATTGAAATTACAGCGCTTCAAGATGTCAAAACAGGCACTGCTGACGCGTATGAATTGGTTATGACAGGAGTCGAAGTGACAGCACAGGTTGTGAAAATAAATATAAGATAACCTGATGACACGTTAATACGTCTTAATACACCTTGTCACTTCGACTCCTATCATTATCAATTCATACGCAAATGCATCAGCAGTGTCTTTCACTTTTAACTTCTTGAAGCGCTGCAACTTCAGTGCTCGAAATGAGTCCAAACTGTCTTGGACGGTAATACACTCAGTGTACACGTTCCAATCGTACGAGCCGTGTGGAAATCATAGTACGATGGAAGTACGCGAGCACTTCGCTCCGCAAAACTCCGTGAATATTGGGGAGAAGCTCGGAGAAATGCGCGAGGTTTATCCGATTTGATGCGAATATATATTCGGTGTAGCAGAAGTCGCGATTAAAAGAATTGATACGCGCCGAATTGATCTTTTTCGATACGCGCCGAAAAGATTTTTCGTTCTTTCTCGATCTTAATTACTGTTAATGCAGATTACTGTCGGCGATTAGAGCGACCGTGTTATAAATAACAATTTTTACACTCGACCCGACCCGATTCTTTAGACAAATTGCAGCGATGCCTTATATCATGTCTACTTGACCGCGCGACGATAAAACTTATCAGTACTAATCCGTGTTACACAAACGTCATATAACTCTTGTCGTCAATCGCGAAAATGATCGATGAGATTGTTCGCACTCGATCGTTAATCCATCGACTCTTTTCTATGAAATAGAGTTTATTTCTGTGAAGTAAAATTGATTTATGATAAATATTTAAGTATTTTTTTTCTCAATGTAATATTAACTGTTCTCTCTCTTTGTAACATGAAACACTTCTTTTACATAAAAAACTCGACTCGTAAAATGAATGAACAATCGTAATATTAATCGTATCGCAATACTAATAACGAAACATTTCTTTAACGTCTGTGCGATTCATTAGCAAGTCGCGTTGCAAAATTACAGTATTAGGTCATAGAGTTTTTCAATTTGATCGATGGGATCGAGAATATCATGAATATATCACGGGAGCATTATTATTCACATGGTGTCGAATGAGTTGGAAGCGTTCGCGCTATTAAAGCGACTTGTACCGATTTTATCGGCGGCAGTTATTAATAATCGGGCACACGTTAACAGCCCCTCGTCTGTGTACAGTGAGCTACGTTGAAACTGACGAACGGCGCAGCCAGATAAAACCCCCGTCGAAATAATAAGCGTCGAAGATGCGTCAGTAGTGCTAATGGTGTCAGCGTGGTCTGACAAATGTGCATGAAGCTGACAGATTAACCTTAGCTGCGTCGGCCGACAGCCGCGGAAAGAATGAATCGTGGAAGGATAAGCAGCGCTTGTCGTCTTGTTGAACATTAACGTCTCGGCGCGCAAGCTGCGAGAGCTTACAGATTATGAATTCGACTCACAATTAGTGTGGCATAAGGCCGTCAAGATAACTTTCTAATTTTACAGCGAATCTATATATCTTCTTTTCCTTTTTATTTCGGTACTTCACGTTATCTGGCAGATTTTAATGAAATTTGCGAAAATCGATGCCGCTCGTCTCGCGTGTAATCTTTATGAACCTTCTTGATGACGCGCTAGAAAATGTTGATAAAATTTTTCATTTGTTCTTGATCTCACCAATGGAGATTCTGTTGGTGGATTGCTGAAGTAGCAAGTCTTCCTCTCGTCCGTATCATCCCACAGTGATTACTACGTAACGAATTGTGCGCGTGACACAACACTAATCCGGTTTACATGTATCAACAAGAGTTTCATCATGCGTGGAACTTTTTTTCTCTGCTGCCACACGGATCGAATAATATCGCATCGGTTTTGCGCGATGAGATATGAAATGGTCTGCCATTCACATCGTCCCGTTTATTACATACTATTAAAAGACCGTAAAAGAAAGTAAGTGGAAATGAGAAATGCGTCGACAGTGCTGAGTTTACTGGCACGCGGAATTTACTGCGGCGTCGGGTGGACAATAAAACAGTGTCATGACTATAATTCCGTAAACACTTTAGCGCTCATATAATCCGCGAGATCCCTGTTCCGCCGACGGCGAATTTCCATAGATCTAATAAAACATAAATAATAAATCTCTGTCTTAATTGTCAATTAGGTGTTTTGATTAATCAATAGGCGTGCCGAAATTTGTTTTAATTAACAGTTCGCGGTTTCATGTCGATAATTGTCACTTAAAATGTGTTTTGTATAAGATATTCAAAAATTTCCAATCAATTAAATTGAAATCAATACAAATTCTTATAGTTAATATTAAATAATATTATTTAATTTAAGCGCTGCTTATTCGTCAGCGATTATAAATCATATTAAATCTAAAACTCGGAAACTAGATTGAGCTTTTCACTAGATACCGCGCATGTTTAACGTATCACATTGATCATTGAAGCTTGAAAGCTTCGAGAACGGAGCTCTTTCACGAGAAGTCGTTCACGTATGACAATGATCTTTGCATGACGCTACCGCTATTCGTATTACAACAAATACAGTGACAATCGATGACATTCGATGGTACAACATGTAAATTGTGTCCCCTTCATGTGCCCGTATTAATAGCTATTACTCGAAATCGTCTCAAGCGAAATATACAATCAAAATTGAATTCAGAATTAAATAAGATTTTCAATCTAATATTAGATATATTTATTAAATTTAATTTAGTTTAATAAAAATATTTATTTTATAAAATTTAATGTAATACAATTTATTTATATTTCTAAAAACTTTATTTTTTTAAATTTTTATTTACTATTTATTTTTAAAAATTTTTATTTACTATTAAAAATATTAGATATATTTATTAAATTTAATTTAGTTTAATAAAAATATTTATTTTATAAAATTTAATGTAATACAATTTATTTATATTTCTAAAAACTTTATTTTTTTAAATTTTTATTTACTATTTATTTTTAAAAATTTTTATTTACTATTAAAAATATTAGATATATTTATTAAATTTAATTTAGTTTAATAAAAATATTTATTTTATAAAATTTAATGTAATACAATTTATTTATATTTCTAAAAACTTTATTTTTTTAAATTTTTATTTACTATTTATTTTTAAAAATTTTTATTTACTATTAAAAATATTAGATATATTTATTAAATTTAATTTAGTTTAATAAAAATATTTATTTTATAAAATTTAATGTAATACAATTTATTTATATTTCTAAAAACTTTATTTTTTTAAATTTTTATTTACTATTAAAAATTAATATTAAATTTGTATTTCGAGTTTTAAATTTAAGTTTTTTAGTTGAATTGAACTGAAAATCTTATTTAATTCTGAATTCAATTTTGATTATTTCGCTTGAGACGATTTCGAGTAATAGCTATTAATACGGGCACATAAAGGGACAATTTACATGTTGTACCGTCGAATCTCACCGATTGTCACTGTATTTGTTGTAAATACGAATAGCGGTAGCGTCATGCAAAGCTCATTGTCATACGTGAACGACTTCTCGTGAAAGAGCTCCGTTCTCGAAGCTTTCAAGCTTCAATGATTAATGTGATACGTTAAACATGTGCGGTGTCTGGTGAAAAGCTCGATCTAGTTTCCGAGTTGCTGTCGCGTCCTTCATGGATCATTCCTGACGTTTCGTGAATATTCCAGTTTATTTTCAGAACAATTTACCTGGAACAGGTCTCTTGTCTCTATATGAACTGAAAGGTTTACGTGAAACATCGGAGATGAATTTGAGAAACAGTTGTAATCTCGTGGACATCTTTCGCCGTTTAAAAATCGAGCGACAGAAACGTCTACGGCAGTTTCCTTGTGCTGCTGTTTTTCGCTCACGGCGCGCACAATCTTCCTCGCGAAGTTGATTCTGTACTGAGGACTCGTGACGCGATCGTCGCCCTTACCTCTTGGGGGTAGAATGGCGCCTGCAGCGACACGCAGACAGCGTTTGCGAAATCGGCGATGCTGATGACAACGAGGGTGAGCCATTGTCTCCTGGTGAATTGGATGACCATTTTCCCGATTCCGTTCTGCGCGTTCTCACACTTCGTTTTCTCGTGGGGATCCGGCTGTCGCGGACGCGCACGGGCTCGCACCGACTCTTTAACTGACTGGCGAAGATCGTCGACGAGTAGTCGCGAATTTTTGTTTACGACATCGGACACGATTCGGCTGACTTGCTGATTGACTGACTGACTCCGACCGATTGATCAAGTGTGTCATTCGGGGCAAATAATACGCGTACACCATACATATAGCGGCACCTTCGTCACGTCGTGTATCGTCTTGTCTTGTCTCCAAGAAGCGGCGAACTCGTTCGCTCCGTGCGTTGTATCGCGCGTGGCGGAACGTCGCGTTGCGCACTACGCGACGCCGATCACTTTTAAGGTTGAAAGAGCTGAGAAGAGGGTCGGAGGTCGTCAGATATGTCCTACCACGGTTCTAATTCATTATCGGCCGACGCTGCTTCGCCGACAACTCGCTCTTTCTCTTTCACGACGATGAAACTTCTCTGCTCGTCGTTGAACGGCGAGCCGTTCAAACCCGGCGATCGCCCTTTCCCGCGAAAGAAAATTCGCGTTTCCCGCTGAGGAGCTTCCGCTTTTCGAGAGTCTTTGTGCCCGTTATGTAACTTCGGGATAATCAAATCTTCATTTTCGCGCAGTTTGTCTGTGTTCTCCGTGCGATCGCACTCGTTTCTTGTTCAGTAAAAACGTCTCGCAGTTACATTAAGGAGGCAAGTTACATTTTTAGTTGCCAAAATGGCAATGATATTCGGGAATTTATTTCAAGAAAACTACCAAATGAATATATACGCAAAAAATGACTTATTGTTAGTAATATCTAAACCGCGGTAGCTGATTCAAACTTAATCAAAAGGCTAATTGTTTAGCTGTCACTGCTAAAAATTGGCTATGACAGCTAAAATGCATTCGCTATGAAATACAAATATAGGTGACATTAAAAATGCACATTATTTCAAATAGCTAAGAAAATGGCAGTTATTCTTAAATTTCTTAGCGTATACATATATTAAAGAAGTTTGCCGCACAGCTACAATCATTTGCTACAGTCATTTGTTTCTAGCAGCTAATATTTCTCGCTGTAGCGCCTAAGTTTAAACAGCGAATAAATTTAGCTTCGGTAATATCGACATTAGCTGTCCTTATTTCAGTGACACATCTTATCTGCCATAGCTATTTTTTAGTTCTGTAAACTAGTTCTTTTTTTGCGTGTATTTGAGTTTTATGCTACATGTATACAGATAATATATATTTCGTATTGAGAAATAATTTATAATTATTTTCGTGCGGAAATGACGACACAGCCATTATGTGTGTATGTATATCTGCAGTTTTTGCACATCTCCTTGGTTTGCACGATTCATAATACGTTTATACAACAGTACAAATTCGATTAAGAAAATGGAAAAAATTTCTTTTAAAGTAATGTTGTAATGTATAAAATAGTGGAAGTAATTAGCTCCCTTACGTAGAGCAGTGTCATTTTTTAAAAGAAGTCGAGACGTTTATTATTTAAATGACGGAATCTCTATTCGACGAATCTCCGCCGCGAACGAAAACATCGACGTAAACACTATAATTGTCATAATTGTCCTTTATTTCGTATTGTCCTTTTATTTCGAGGTAGATTTATTCTCATCGGCTTGTTAGAGAGCAATTTAAATATGACGTAATTGTTGACGACTACTTTTCTACTAAGTATATTTTGTACACACAGCTCCGTATAATTATACTACAAACATGCGCATCCGATTATAAGTTGCGCGATACAAAATAACCTGATATTACTAATCGTAGAATTAATATAATTATAATACAAATACGAGTATCCGAATATCGAATTAATCGTGTATCATTTCATTGATTAACGACGAATAGCGTTTGGAAGTGTTGCAGCTACTAGCGCTGCAGCGCGCGACTCGAAAGTACATATTCTCTACTGTCGATCTAGGGTCTGTTGCTCGGTCGAGATTAATTTTAGTAAATGTTATTGGGCCGATATAGCAATAATACAGGGCCTGTCGAATAATGATCTTTCGAGAAATGTCACGTATTAACATTGATTATGGGTCACTCACTGAGCCATATCTCAATTAACAGAAAAAAGACCCCACACTTTATGATACATTCTATCACCATATTTTATCATAATCGTGAAATGTTTTTGCATTTCGATGAAACAATGTGGCAATGATGAATTTGTGTGTGGGTATGTATGTCGTGAACGTGTACTATATACAGGGTGTCCCGCCACTACCACATTATCTTTTAAGGGCGGATTCCTGAGGTAATTTGAATAAAAAACCATAATGCAAAAGCGAAGCTGTAATATTTTTCAAATTATAAACGATTAAAGTTGACCAATTATACTGGCTAAAATACGCTCGCTCAAGTACGGTACAACATATAATGGTACAACATATAACGGTGCACATATCGTCTTTTTTCCAAATATTGATATGGAAGTTCCATACATACAACAACGTATGTAATAACAATCTGCCTTTTCTATCATTTAAATAAACATCGCAAATAATAACAGTTTTGTCGAAATGTTATGAATAAAATCACACAATACATTTATGAGAATCAATAAACTGTCACACATTTGACGTTTCTTTCAGAGATTTATAACTAATTTCATATCTTATGCAAATTCTCACTTACGTGCATGCATCTGTACACTGAGAGAAAAATTATCTTAAAATCAACAAATATTTCCTTGGTGGGTGCCATTAACATATTTACTTAAATCTACATTCTCTTTACTTAAATCAAATATTGTTTATTTAAATCAAGTAAACAATATTTGATTTAAGTAAAGAGGATGTAGATTTAAGTAAATATGTTAATAGCACCCATCAAGGAAATATTTGTTGATTTTAAGATAATTTTTCTCTCAGTGTACCATTGTGTGTTGTACCTGAGCGTGCGTACTTTAGCTAATATAATTGGTCAACTTTAATTGTTTATAATTTGAAAAGTATTATAGCCTCGACATTTTTGCATTAGGATTTTTTTCTTTAAATCACTCAGGAATCCGTTCTTAAGAGATAATGCGGTAGTGGCGGGACATCTTGTGTGTGTGTGTGTGTGTGTATGTGTGTGTGTGTGTGTGTGTATGTGTGTGTGTGTATATATATTATCGAAAACTCTCTTTGAGAGCTATTATGTGTCATGCAGCCAGACTTTCATTGGTAATTTGCCGAAAGCGCCACCCAGGAAATTCTTGAAATGTTTGGCGATGGCCGCGCTGGCCGCCGGTCTGAGCTCTTCGACGATTTCGTGGGCGTTCTGATTGAGAAATTGATTCATTGCCTGTCCGATCACGTTGTTGCCGTTCTGGTGGTCCATCACGCGGAATCGGATGCGGTTGAGTTTAAAGTCGACCAATAGCTTCACGACCTTCATGTAGCGAACGCCGTCTCTTATTTCCACTTCACCCTGTGCACGCGCGATCGCGACTACATCGCCTGTGAAACGTCAAATTGTGAATTGAGAAAGTGAGAGAGAGAATTATCGCGTAATTTATTGTTGTTATTATCGCAGTTGTTAATTACAGAATGTTCGTATTACGTGGTTGCCCTTTTTGTTTCTTTTTGCTTTAAATTTTTACGATTAAAAAATAAATTATAAAAAGATATAAAATATAAATAAAAAAAATATATATAATGTTTATATTTAGAAAGATATATTTTTAAAAATATATTTTAAATAATTAACGTAACATTTTTAGAGATATAAAATATTTTCTACTTTTATTTATATATGTTTTTAAGTATTTGATAATAAATAAAAATATGAAATATAGATAAAAATTATAGAAATATTAAATTATAAAAATAAAGAAAGATAAATTATGATTATAAATTATTCGCAGAGTAAAGAGACTCACCAAATAACGCCCAAAACTCGCCGTGACTCTGTATGGGAAAGAGCAGCACGTTTCCGTTGATATCGTAGAGACCCTGAAGCTCAATCTTAGGGAATGATACGTGGATGTCAAGTCTGTACGACGACATATTGACGCGTATTTTATTGATGCTGTAGTTTCCCGGTCCTATCGCGGTGATGTTGTTGAAAAGCGCTCGAATGCGCACTGGGCCTTGGCCATTTTCGATTTTTAACTCGGGTATCACCAGAGGCTCGATCGACGGCAAATCCAATTCCGGGATGCCTGCGTGATAGAAAATTCACGTTAAAAACATAGCTCCGACTGTTATCCCCTTGGCCTTCGGGCGTCGACGATCAGTCGGTAAAAGTAACGCGAGACCGACGCAGAAACTCGTGAAAAGTTGCGTCGTCGACTTTTCGTTCTGCGAATTCAATTTTAATCTGCGAATCAATTTCTCTGAAGCGGATTTCTCATATAGATATCATTGAACAAATCATCGTCTTTCCATAATCTATGCAATTGTTAAATCGATTCTTTCGCTGAATAATCGTGCATAATATTGTGCCGATGCAATGCCGATATTTTGTAACAACGCGTTGGGGCGCGTAATTATGTCGCAACGCGGTGAAGTTTCCTGAGTTCCGACTCACCTGTTACATAAAACATCCATTGTAAAAGTCTAAATCGTCAGTCGCACAAATTTTCGCGATATTTACGAAGTTACCGATGAAAGTTTATAGTAAAAGTATGCTCTCTTACGACATGAGAAATACGTTTTATGTAATGCACCCGCGCACAATCAGTACTCACGGTTTACCATTTACGGGCTTCTCTCGTCGTTAACTGGTTTTGGTGTTGCATTAATTGACGTTACGTAAATTTCATTAAATAGTCAGAAGTAAATTCCGACGGAAAATATGCAGTACAGTGAGCGAACAGGACTTCGGTAACGGACACGCGTCGCGTGTTATTTAATGACTTCTCGCTTTTTTTTGGCGTCGCGGTAGCTCTGAGCGTTTTGCAAGAAGCGGTCTTGCTGGGCAAATTACTTAATGACGCAGTGAAGTAAAAAATCTAGCGCGATAAAATGGAAACTTGGAAATATATTCTTTCTGGGATACCCCAAAAAGTGTACATAGGATACCCAATGACAAACTGTGTATACTAAGAGAGCGTATTTCTGGGATTAATTCAAATAGAGAAGACTATAAACATGAAATGTACAATAATTACCTAAGTATAGGTAATTATATCAGTATAGGCGTTCAAAGCTAAGAACTGTGATTTACCTTTCTTAATTCTGTGAAAAAAACTTCATCCATATTCTACATACGCGATGTATAACCGAGAGACGTTAGTTTGAGCGATATGATTTTTATTTTTGTTCAATAATTTTTGTTTTTATAATGTCTGGTTTATTTTTTATTTATTATTGGACTTTTTTTTCTTAATAATAAGGCGTTGAAAAATCGATTCTTAGCTTTGAAGGCCTGCACCTAACTATTGTGAATTTCATTCATGTTTATAGGAAATCTTTTGTTTAAATTGATTTCAGGAGCACATTCTCTCTCTTAGTACGTACACTTTATCATGGAATACTCTGTATAAAGATAACTTATGTTTAATAACAACATTTCTGCGTTCACCAAATAAAATGTCGAGTTTTCGTTAAATCTCACGACAAATATCGATCGAAAATAACATTCACGGAAATACCATTTTATATTTTTCTTTCCGCAATTTGCACAATGATTTCAAAGAGCCATGTAAAATGAAGTGTTATCAATGATACGGCGCTAGAATGATGCAGTTGTGTCATTAGCTACACTCTATCGGCGACCGTCTTGGTGATCTTTGCGCATGTCAAATGCAAAAATATGTACTCACCGTTCACCAAGTATGGCCTGATATGGTTGAGAGTATTTTGAAGGCACGTGTCAAGCTTCGGATCTGTCCTGCTGCACGGTAATATGTATTCGGCTGTAAAAAGAAACAAAACACCGATTATAGGAGCATTATGCAATACGCAGTATGGGCATTATGCAATTAATAAGCAGCTACGTAATAATAGTAATAATAATAACGTATACATACACACTCGCGTATACAATATACACAAAAGCGTATTTTGCAACAAATCAGCTAATCGGCGCAGGTAATTTATGGGTAACGCGTGCGCTCTCCTGGAGATCCCACATTAATCCTTCTTAACTTTTAGAAACGCACGTCGTGTCTATGCACGTAATTCTCTTATCTCGGCTTTACGTGTACGTATACACCGTCAAGAGAGATTTATCCGAGTACTGACAACATTCTTTGCGGAATACGTGACTTGACATTTGAGAGTAGACGCGATTTTACGACCGCAACCTTTCGACGTTACTTTGAACGCGACATGAGCACACGTATCTATGTATATCTGTATGTGCGGTCAGACTTCTTGCAATTACATAATTAATCACTGCTGTTTTTCCGCATTACGCGGAAAAATATTAATGTGAAATCTATTCTGGTCAATTCTATTAAGTGGAAAAGATAAATTTAATTTGAGAATTCAAAAGAGACTAACACCGAGGAATAATATTAAAAAATTTATATGTGAGATATAAGATTTATTTCTGCGAAATAAACTTGTATTTATCAAGTAAATTTTCAAAAATTTTTTTTAATGTCGGAAGTTTTTACACTGTAAAAACTGATATATTAAATTTAGCATGTCATATCTCCCAAATCAACCATTATCAGTTATGTGTAAATTTAACATAAAACGAATGTGATAAAAAGTAACACGCATACTATGGAAAAAATTAACAGAAGAATTTAACTTTTGAATACCGTTAGGAATCACATGTTGTGTTAAATTGACATATTTAATATGTCATACATAGATTATGTCAATTTAACATTTTCATTTTATCAAAACCGTAGATTAATACTTCTCTCAAATGTTAAAGTAACGTTTTATTTTAGTTAATTTAACATTAGTTAATTATACATATGTCAATTTAATACAAATTGTGATTTCTGACGGTATCAAATGTTAAATTCTTGTGTTAATTTTTTACATATTATGCGTGTTATTTTTTACCACATTTGTTTTATGTTAAATTTACACATAAATGAGAGTGGATGATTTGGGACACATGAAATGTCAAATTTAACACATCAGTTTTTACAGTTTTTACACTAAGAAAAAACTTGGAAATTTGTTTGTAAAATGTAAAGTTTATTCGCACAGAAATAAACTTTATATTCCACAAATAAATTTTCAAGTATATCTTCCTAGTGTAATAAAATTGACTTCTTCATATTTCTGTACCTTATATAATTGAATTATTTTTCATATTTGTACATATTGAAAAATATTTGTACATATTGTTTCATATTGAAAAGTGTCTTTAAATCGTTGTATGTATACGACGATACAGCGCGATGTAAAATAATGTAAAAATATAGTTAAGCGATATCATCATCTTTATTTCATGCAAACCGGTTTGTTAGCACGATCATCTAATTATTGATTCAAAAAAACCTTTATTCAAAGAGATTTAACTCTTAACTCAAAGAGATCATTAAATCAAAGAGTGATTCTTGGAGTAACTCGCGGCCGTTACGAACGGCTTTTCAATCATTCTGTTTAGCCGCGAGCTTCGTGATATCGTATTAATGAATAACTCATTGCGATGGAAACTAGAACCACTTAACGTGGGATCGCGCGCGTACGTCCGCTCTTCAGCAAATTGCTCTGCCACTTCTTCCTACTTCCTCTTTTATGCAATCACTCTCACTTTAATAATCCTGCAAGACTGTTGTTAACAATTGATCGATGCTAGTACGCTTTTTCTGCGAATTTTAATATTATTATCGTTAAATGTCGTCGCATAGCTATTTAGCAGTAGTTAGTGTAACTGATTTTTCTCTTACCTGAGGTCCAGACGAAAACTCTGGAACAGAAAGATTCCTGTACATTGAGAGAAAATACTTGAAAATTTATTTGTGGAGTATAACATCAGTTTTTGTGACAACAACAAACTTTTATCTCACAAATAACTTTTCGAGTATTTTTTCTCAGTGTAGCAGGTTTTTATTGAAAACAGAAATTTATTTGTGTGGGACAAAATTTATTCACTCACACACAGAAATAAACTTTATATCCCACAAATAAGTTTTCAAGTATTTTTTCTCAGTGTATTCACGTAATTGCTTTTAGCCGAGTTTTACTCTGCAGCTGAATGTTGAGACGAACGTTTTCAATCACAGATTATTATTTCTCATCGATTAATTTTTTGGTCTGATTATTATTTCATTGTGCGAAAACTAAATTTTTTCCCATGTAACATATGTGTTAGAAAACGAGAATAAGTCTGCAGGTGTCAATGAGAATTAATTGGGAGAAGAATCATTGCGCGAAAGAAGATTTTTAACACGTTGGCTCGCTTTAAAGAAATCTGCTTAAAAAATTTAATTACTCTGTTTTGCACTTTTTCACATGTGAATTGATAGTTCGCTCTTGCTCTCGGTCTTCCTTCGAGATTTCTTCCGTGACTTCTCTTTGGGGGTGCTTATGTAATATAAATATTACGCGTCTCTTCTCGCGCTTCTCTCTTCATGAAGGAGCGCACATAAATTTCGAGATACTCTCGACTTTCGCGGCCTGATAGACTTCTCAAACTAAGCTGACCATCGTCAAGGACATGGCGACATAATAGCGTCGTATGTTCCAGATACATCTCGCGTATTCGTAAATACCGACTTTAGTTCCAGTAAATTATAATATAAATTTGCGTATATAAAGCTTCATCTGCATTGAAAATTACTCGACAGGTAAGCTATTGCATTTGCTATTGCATCTGCTCTTGATGTATATTCAACGATATAAAAATTCATAAGCTGATACAAGCGTGCATATTAATCCACACTATGTGCATTTCGATGCATCCTTAATGCTACATGTCAATATACCGAGTTCTCTAATGTCAAGCAAGGAGATAAACAGCACCGCCATTTTTCCATGAATCATTCTTCCGTAAATATGATTAGAGTGCGGTGTTTGAATTACTGGTGCTGAAATTTCGGGACAATCATTCTTGACCTTTCCACAAAAGTTCTTGTTGAACGACGAAAGAAAGAAAGAGAGAAAAAGAGTGAGGGAGCGAGAGAGACGTTGTCAGCTGCCTCGTGCTGGTGTTACGTCGTAACTTGAAGGAATCTGGACCACCTGATGCATCATCGGCGTGGCTATTACGTCGCCACTTTCACTCAGGACACCCGCTTGATCACGCAGGAAAACGAACGTGTGCATGATGAAAGATAAAGGCCGATCATGCTCGCGAACGTAAATTCCATGGAAAAACGTTCTCCTGATAGTTCTCTGAATCATCATCTTTCCGAAAGCTTTAAGGAAACAATAATATGATTTAAGAATGTTCAGATTTTCTTCTCTTATAAACGTTTAATTGTTTTTGATTACCGTGTCATTGAAAAATAAACTCGTTTAGCGGAGAGAATTCTGGACGGATGGAGGAAGAATGTCTCGCGATTGAGAATATTAGAGAATATTAGAGTAAAACATAAGTACCAATTTCCAGAACCCAATTGTTTTGATTGTTTTGGTTTTAAATACGAATATTTAGTTTAAATATTTTCCACATAGATGATATGTCTGTATATTACGTTGAATTTTAGTATTAGATTCGTGTGTCCGGGCACTTTGATTTTATTATAATCTCGATTAACTCGGATTTATATCGAAAGATATCTCCTTCTTCCGTCTATATAGGAGATAAAGAACAGACAAGTTTCAAATTGAAATTCACGTTTTCTCATGGTACTTGATCGCTGGCGGACGGTCATCATGAAAGGATCAACGTCTACATGTACGTACAGTATCTAGAGTAGAGAATCGGCGCGTTTGTGTATGTCGTAGTGACGCCGACTTTAACCCGGTACTTTCTCCGGACGATTGCTGCCGATTCCCGGCACCAGCAATTACGCAATCTCTGACATAACCTTCGCCACGCCGTCGAGAAATGTTACGCCATGGTTCGAGACATTATATCGGTGAGGACCAAATGTGCATGTCCGACCAACATCGGCTCGCCTTGTGTTCAGGCACGCGAATTATTTCGCCAACTATCTGGCTACTGGCATCGTGTCGCTAGTTAAATGTTAAATGGAAAATATGCACGTCTTTGATGACAAATGTGATCAAAAACACGCTACGTGTAACATATGCAAGAGAAGAAAATTCCGTAATTAAAGCATGACGAAAAAAATCAGTACAAAATACATATTAAAACGAGTCCCATTAGTATATGATTAAACGACTAGTATTAAAAGGGCAACAAATATAATAATTATGTAGATCAATGCATAATTGAGCTTTCAACTAGTCGATTTTGGTCATTCGTCAACCAGCGGGTCAAATCCTTCCAGCATCAAATTCGCGTTTTGCGGAAGTGAAATTTGCAGACCGGTTGATGGAGATTTTTCGAAAAGTATCGCGAGGGAAGGAAATATCGCGCGGCCGATATCGCTGATAGAGTTCCTGGCGGCGGCCAGAAAGCATAGTTGTAATCGAGACAACAAGCTTCCGTCACGTAATTGCGAACCTTACGTTCATTGTTTGTGTTTCTTCGTGTTATGACGAAAGAGAAAGGCAGATACGCTCGAGATGTTCGGCGAATGAAAACGCGAATGGAAATGCAAGATGATATTACATTCGCGTGCAATCATTTCCTATTATCTTTTACGCGCGTTACCAACCGGTGCTTGCGCGCTCACCACGGAAAAAGAAAAAGGAAATAATGACGATTAAAAATGGATATAAATTGCAAAAACTGGTGAATAAATTTCGGAGAGTGTCGACGAAGTGTATATCATTCGTACATTGAGAATAAAATGTATGTTTAGTATTGGTAATCACACAAAGGAATAATTGTTATAAATTATAATTAAAAAAAATCTTTTTTTAATCTATATTATAATGTTGTGTGATAGTAACTTTATATGTATGTTATCACCACTATTTTTGTGTATGTTAGCATAACTAAAAAATATATAACTATAATTTCAGTTAGATCAATAATTTCTTTCTTTCGGTGCAAGAATTAACAAAAGGTGGCAAACTTTGTTTGTTGAGAATCCCGTGACATCCCGGAAATTTCCGCGATTCTATTCTGAGACTTAAAAAATAAATTGTCAGATATAATATAATATATACTCAGAGAAAGACATGGTAACGGCAACTATATAGGAAACAATCACACGAGCTTTATATGTAAAATTAGTGTTTATATAATTTAATAAGTTATTTTATAGTTATCTTGTAACTAAGGGTTTATTTGCATATAACTACAAAATAGTTTATTATAAACTATATACGCACATCAATTCCACATACAAAACTCGTATTGTTGTCACCTGTATAGTTGGCATTACCATGTTTTTTTCTTTAAGTGTAATATAAAGTAATATAATATCTCTCTCTCTCTCTCTCTCTCTCTCTCTCTCTCTCTCTCTCTCTCTCTCTTTCTCTTTCACGTTAATAATCTCCCGTTTGCCTTACTTGTGTAATTTGTTACTTGTGTAATGAAATAGTAATAATTAAATTATAGTCAGTGTTACATGAATTCTCTCCTCGTTTTTTTTAAGAAGGTTAGATAAACGGATATGCTTTAATGTTTGATGACCGGCACTCTCGGAGAGAGTGACCGTAGTGCCGGTATTTTTAAGAGTCATCACGTGGCTTTAAGTTCTATCGACGGCGATCGTTAGCATGCACGCAGCCAGCTAATGAATATTATCACCATAATGACATTCGGTGACTAATAAACGCCCGCATCGCATAGCAATTATTATCGATCCAGTGTTTCGGTTTCCAATGACTTCATCGGGGACTTTAGCACACGCGTCTCGCGATTTATGCGGGAAATTTCGCGCGAAACTCACGAGTCGGGAAGTCTGGCTCATTCAGCTCATCGCTGGATTGCGTCGCGTTTTGACTCTCCTGGCAGGACACCAAAACGATACCCCAGCAAAGTCCAAGAAGCAAGACGAAGGATTCCCTCGCGCGTGCCATTTTTAATAGCACTGTTCCCTCTTGAGAAATGTGACACGCTCACTTCCTTCTTCCCGATCGCGTCTGTAAAAAAAAAAGGAAATACGAACAGATCCTCCTTCATCCATCGCGCTGTGCGGCTTATCTCTCACAGACAGGAACACTTACGAAATGACACTCGTTGTGTCCGTTAATTAGTTCGGAGACCGGTGACTTTTCTGATGCGAGGATCCGTTGAAAACATAATCGCGATGCGTGTCGCGATATCGACCTGACTCGACGGCGCGTACGGAGATTAGCGCAGGAAGGGTACACGACTGGCTGACTACTTTGTGATAAACTAAAGAGCAGACCCCTTCATATTCTGTCTTATATGCGGGAGTCCCCCTACTCTGAAAGCACCACTACTGCCGGCTTTGAGGAGTCGCCGTGACCGTCTCTTTCCTCCGCATCTATAGTTAAAACATGCCCAACTGATATTCTGCTGTTATTAGTGGGAAAAAAATAATATACGGAATTTGCATACGATTGCATCTGGTATATTATTAGTATGCAATGCGTTCATATTTACGATTGGTAACAACCGATGGTTGTTATCCTCAATTACTTAAGATTAACGTCAATACTATTTTTCGATATGCCGTAGAATATTCTGGTTTGAAAATGCTGAAGTCGATTATTGCAATACTTGAACTCGATTTTGTTTCACGTGCTTTTCAGGGTCCTGAGCATTAGTCGATCGATTTTCAAAACAATATTCTGACACAATATTAATTATGTCTGTTACACAATATATTGTATTAATTACTATAAAGCATTTATGATATAATATTTATTAAATGTTAGATCGCGTAAATGCGCGTCAATTTTATGACTTCGCATTGCTCACTCTGCTGTTGAGATTTTAGCACTTCGATCGATGTTTCAGTATCGAGCACTTTTTTCCTGGAATTATTTGTATAACTTCTTGTGTATGTTATCGTTTACATAATATAAATAAAATAGCAGAGTGAAAAAAGCGAAGTCATAAAATTTACGCGCATTTACGTTATCTAACATTAATAGATTTACATACATTTAATAGATATTACATTATAAATACTTTACATGGAGAAAAATAATTTTGCTCTTTTAACAAAATCATCGTTGCTACTGCATATTCGTATATTCGTAGTGACATAAAAAAAATTTAATTGACGTAACTAATTTTACTTGTTATTAGAGCAGAAGTAGTTGCCAGGATAGACAAAATTTGTTGAGTGTATTTCTAAGAATCACGTTAATTTGCTATTGATGCAAAATATGTATCCTTAGCAAATTTATTTGCTATCGGAGCAAAATTGCAACTGCTTATATAAATCCATCACGGTTCTTATAACAAAATAATATGTAGATTCAGCAAATTCCAGCAAATAGTGATTAATACTCTTAGCAAATCTTTTTGCTGTCCATATAATAACGAAAAAATTTTGCTAGACTAACAGAAAATTTGTTGGGCCAGTAAACTATTTTTCGTGTGGTGATTGATACAATATATTGTATAATAAACACAATTAAGAAAAATTTTTTTTAATAATTATAGGATATCATGATGATAAAAAGATGAAATATGCAAATTATGTATGTATTGATATATTGTTTTTCAAGATGTTACGAAAAAACGATGTTAAAGAAGCAAGCACGTGTAAATTTTTTTAACAAATATCGATAATAATAACGGTAAAAAATCAGATCATAGATTGAAATTTAAATTAGAAAACCATTTTTTGCAACTAATAAGATCGTTTAATTTGACGAATGAAAATCGTATTACACGATTATTTTAACGTAAATACGTTTGTACCATTTTGCAATGTAGCGATAAAAAAGGAAAGAAAACAGAATTATATTGCACGCTAGTCTTGTGGATTTATGAAAAAATTAATTGCAAAAAGATCTATTTCGCCAGCGAGAATGCAACGTGAAAAATGTGCACAGAAAAATGTATACTGCATTGAAATAAATGTTACTTATTTCAAGTGTTTTATAAGTTTATAGATCCGCAAATCTATCAGCAGCTTATTATAGGCATTTATTCAAATTTTGAATCCTAGTAAGTTCAGCATTTCAATCCAAGAATATTAAATTAAAATAAAAATTCGATTTACTTGCTATGTAGAAGGAACCAAGTTTTTCTTCGATAAATTTTTTGCTATTCTTGTAAAAAGAATAAATTCTTCTTTTAAGTGTACGATAATGAACTCTTCTTAAATTTATGATGAGTCTATTTGAAGACTATTTTTAAGAAAAAATGTTCTTTGTTGAAGACAGCTATTACTTGAAAGAAGAAAGATAAAGTTAAGTGAGTAATCATTTTTCTTATCAGTAGAGTGTGACATTTTTCTATGTGCTCTGTATACGAGAATATCATATCACATTAAGAGGTATTATTATATATACGCAATTCAACGTTATTTGCCATGTTACATCATTAAAATTTGTTTCCATGGACTGAATAAGCGTAAATGAGTGTGGTATAATAGATCTATACAAATACAGCGAATTTCGATCATATTATTCAAAAGTCGTAGGCATTGTAATATTAAAAATATATTCGTACGAGTCACTTACGCAGTCGTGTTTTAACCGTGGTGACCGGCGATAAATATTTAACGCTTCATTGTCTCTCCGAATTTGTTCCTCCTAGGAACTTTATTATCGTTCATTACCTTTCTTCTATCGTGCGCGATGTACGGACAGATTATTCGGAAATGCGTGCCGCAGCTCTACGTGACGAAGGAACTCAAGATGTAGCGTCTCAGTAGCTGTCGCGGTAATTCCTTATTTTTAATTGTCCTTGATCTTTAATGATCTCGCCCTTGAACCTACTTTACTTGATTTTTTCATAAATAATCTCGGTTTCTCATTTTATATGTCACAGTCGAGAAATATTGGAAGGCGTGGCCAGATTGACGAGCTTGCTAATATGGTATCAGGCACGTCAGTCGATATCGAAAGCAGTTCTGCTCGTAAAACGTCATATTACTCCTTTTTTAAATGACCTTTTACTTTTACGCTATACACTTTATTGACACGCAAATCTCACACGAGGTAAGCACCGAGCGTGAGATAACAAAGACAATCCTCGGGAAGGTTGCGGCAATGTTTCACAATTACAATGCACGAGATGCAGTTGTCGAAAGAACTCTGCAGCGTTAAACAGTAAAAATGAGGAAACGTGACACTCGCGGACGCCGCGTTTTCTACACGCTAAAGCGAGCTTTCGCGAACAAAATTAACACTTACTCGAATTATGGGACATATGTAAATGCCGTTTCCTTGCGCGAATATAACGCAACATCACGCGTCGCGTATTTTCCTTCTCTCGGCGTCAATCGTGGAGCGATTCCCTCGCGGCATCCAATGCTTCTCCGCAGTCTTGGGAGTTGATTTTCACCTATACACAATCGCGACGATGGTCAGCAGCTTTTAGGAGCAAACAAACGAGACATGTGAATACTTTGAGAAAATATGATAAAAAATATATATACTAGTATTTAGATGCAAATTATTTGCGCATTAGTTATTTTAAATAATTAATCTATTAGATTAACTTATTTTTAAATAAGATAATTATTTCAGATAATACTTATTACTAAATTTTTTCTCCGACCACAGAGAGGAAATTTCTGAAAAAAATATTATTAACGATCTGTGTGCTGATATCGCAAACATCGAACGTTCACTGTTTCGAACGATACTTGTTGATATTTTTATTTTATTTCCAAATCGGGTATGTACAACTTCGTGTCTTGCCTTTAGCGTGAGGCAAGACGCGAAATTGTATCTCTGTGGATAAAAGGCTCGAACGAGGTAACGCACGTGTAGAGGTTTCGGCACAAGTAACTTTACTCAATTCGCTGACAGTATTTGCAAACATTGATAAAAGGCTCGAGTTCTGTTGCTACCTCCGCAAGATCGTTCGAACTACGTCCCCGAGACATAAAGGAGAATTTATATGCATATACAGATTGACGTCACTTATACGATCAATATATCATTTCAAAACTGGCATGTTACGGGCGTAACTTTTTATTCAATTTGTTTAAAGTACAAAAATAAGTTTATACACTTCTCTCGTCTTTGAGTGCACATGGATAAAAACGTTAGTATCGCAAACTCATTTAATGATTATTATTCTGCTTTTTTTGGGAGAGAAAAGAAACGCTTTGACTATCGTTGGTTGTGTCTTCTGGAATCTTGAGCTCACGTTTACTCACTTTCCGAATACTCTTGACATCGACACGGTTCGGGCATTTTTCTCTTGATACAGTTTAGAACACAGTTGATGGTTTAATGGGAAAACATAACTTCTGGGAATTATTTCAAAAACAAGTTTTCTCATGGGACGATCGACTGCTTTTCGATTTGCATCGAAAGAAAAGTGTCCAAATTGTATTAAAACGAGGTGTACACGCGTTTGCACAATGTCTCCGCATGCTTTTCCCGATAAAGTTAGGAGCGTGCCAAATGGCCACGATTATGGATTACACCAGTCGCAAGCTTGCGCGGTGATCGTCATGACAGGAAGTGAACTGATAGTATACGAGACGTCCGACGTTACAACTGCAACGGAGAATTCAGGAAAAATCTAAGTATTTTTATTGTACTTTTATCTATCAGAGATGAAAGTATAATAAAGGGCTACTATTTACTCCGTACTATCATTCGACTTCTTTCGTAACTAATTACCACCCATGAGCAATGTCTCGCAATCGTGATCATTTGATGCATACCTAATTTTGTCAGAAGAAAACGTGTGCAAACCGATATGCAAATGAGTGTACACATGATGTCATGAGTATTCATCGTCCTAATATTCTCTGAGAGTTACATAATTTTCGGCCCTATGCGTATACGAGTAAGATTGAAACTATTACGATCAAAGCTATTCTAATCCTATCATTATAACTACTATTACTTGCACAATTTTTAATCTCGAGCGTTATGTCTAAGATCGAAAATTGTGTAAATCTCGATCTGGGCAATGGTAAGACATCCATGACACCGTGTATATATCAATTTTCGATACACAACAATAACATGCACACGATCGCGTTAATTCGATTAACAGTTATAAAATAATTGGAGTCGCGACGATAAAATGGAAATAACGACTTAGAGCGGAAACAACATTTTCGTTGGGAAATTATCATAGATTTTACTCGCGAAGTTGAAGATTTCGTCGGGAGCGGTTAACGAAATTATTTGTAGTACTTCGTTCGATATCAATTGCCAAATATCGGTCAAAGTAGCATTTGTAGAAGAAGATAAGGACTCTAAGTTGTCCCTGAAGACCGTGACGTTTTCCACGGACAATTTCGGGATGGAGACCATGTTCAGTCGGAAATATTCTTCTTCGGTTTTATCGTGCAGATAAAATTCACCATCTATAGTGATTTTAGCTTTGACGTTCCTATAGATACCACCCATTTTGTATCCGTCTTTTATTTCGGGTAACGTCAAGTTCGCACTCTGTATTTCGTAGAAGGAGAACACTCGGATGAGTGGAAATTTCGCGGTAAATTCAATTCGCTGTACGTCTACAGAAACTCTGAAAACGACAGTTTCATGTTAATCGTGTGCTCAGCTGCACTCTCGAATTCAAAATGTGAATCGATTACGGCCTATTTAAGCTATAATTTTATTTGTCGCGCAAGACCAAGTATTGTCGAAAGTGCCGATTGGATAGATCATTTTGTAATCAATATGTGTAAGTTGCGAATTTTATTCCTTCTCGAAAGATCAATTTAGAATCGTTATCAGAAAATTACGTAGTTGAAAAGGATCTTGATTTCTGCTGTTGTTTGTCTTTATTGTCAGCATCAAGAGAATTTTTATCCCGTCAAAATAAAGTAGAATTAGAATTTTCTAGTTTGCTAATATTTTTGCGTGAAAGAAATCTTGTCTATCCGACAATTGAAACATCCGATTATATGCGTCGTGCGACACATGAAATAATAACTCAACAATGATACCGATCGATCGGTTGATCTTACACCGATATTTGAGATGGGGACAATCATTACCTATATAGAAAAAAAGAAGAGTTAACTGCAGCAGCAAGAATCTAAATCTCGTTGTAATATACGGATACATAAAAGTAAGTAGCTGCCAGTAGACATGAATTTAGTCACGAAACCGATGTAGTAGTAAAGGCTTCGGTTATAGCAGGCAGTTTTTAGCAAGTTAGAGCAGCAAATACTCTTTCAGCAAACCATGATTAGCTGCAGCAGAGAAATCTATCTTTTTGCCCGTGCAACAAATTAATTTGTTATCCTTGCGAATAAATACCGACTCGTGTATAATCAATAGCGATTACTTACAAGATTTGTTTTCTTATCGTGTAGTTTGATAGACCGTAGATAAATGTATTCTTAAATATCACTTTGGTGTCATTTCCCAAGGTAAACTCGTAATGTATCATGTGATATGGATCGAAAACTTTTGTATTCAAATTCCAAATACCGTTCGCTATGTAAGGCTTCATCGATTCTATGCTGCGCTTTACGCATTTTCCTATATCAGGTAGATGGCGGTTACATCTGTGCAGTTGCGGTACTAAGAAAAGATGATACAAAGTGTCTGTTATTTCTTTTCTGCATATAGTAGTAAAAATATATTTTGTATTTATTTTGATGAAAAGTACACGTTCTTAAAAAGAAAAAAATTGATCTGACAAATATTTGAAGTCAACCTCCAACACAACAGGTTTCTAGTCGTTATCATAAAACGGAAATGCATTCATTCCTGTTCAAGAAAATTATCTTGTTGGACAATTACATAATACTTACATACGGTTGCGAGGGTAAGGGTCGACTCGACCATGCTGCATGTTACAATCAAAAGCATAAAAATGGTCAGCATCGTAACCCGCGACAAGTTCTTTGATTCCATTGAAACTTAATGACGTTCTGAAATGCCGGATAAAGCTGACGCGCGATTATCTTTCGACTAATTATCTTTTGATTAATTGGCAACGAAACGATTGTGTGATTCCGGCGATAAGTTTACGTTGCGCTCAGTTCCGCGTCTGCCGTTAATCTGTTGGTTCGGTCTGTTAAGATTCGTATTTCGGACACAATAATCTCACGTGCCAGCACGATGTAAATCACGTGTGGTCTTATGGCTTAGCAATGAACTAAAGCATTCATCAAGAGGATGATACAGAACATGTAAACATGTCGAAAGTTGTCGTGGAATCACGCGATTCGCAATCGTCATCCGCCAAGGTGATCATTTCGGGAGAAATCGGTCGAGCCGGGTTATATCCTCCTGTTTGGTGTGTTAATACACAGCGAGTTAGAGACGTGGGTCAATATCTTTAGTTTGGAAGCGTCGAAAACGAATTGTCTATTCGTGTTTTTATGACACGCGGCATATCGGTAGATTCTATCCGAAACAATTTTGTAAGAGGGAATAAAAGGCAAAGATATTTTAATGATAAAAAATACTAGTAACGTCGATGTCTGCTGCTGTTTGCACAAGACTGCACGAACTAGGCTCCGAGGCGTAAAGTCGAATTAATCCGCGCTTGCACATACAGAAAAATACATACCGCATTTAAATAAATATTACTTGTTTCAAGTATTTCACAAATTTCCACAAATCTATAAATTCACCACAAGCAATCAAATTTATTCAAAAGGCGTTCTGAATCCTAATGAGTTTAGTATTCAAATAAAAAATATGAAATTAAAACATAAATTCGATTTGCTTGAACCAAGTTTTTCCTCCATAAAATTTTAGACATATCTTTGTAAAGAGAATAAGTTCTTCTTTAGAATTTATATGATAATAAACCTTCTTAAAATTTGTAATGAGTATATTCGAAGACTGATATCAAGAAAATATTCTTTGTTAAAGATAACCATTATTTAAAAAGAAAAGCAGATTGAGTAATTGCTTTTCTTAGCAGTGGAATGATATCTTTCTGTGTGCAAATTCGACAGATTACTTACACACACAGAAAGAAAGAAATTAGTATCCATTTAAAACTAATATATCCAAATCAACAATATCATATTTCACATATAAGTAACGATATACAGGATTTTATTTAACAGAAATCATACATATAAAGTGTAATTTCCACTTTCATTTTTGTCATGGCAAAAATATCAGTATATATCGTAAATGTTAAAAAGATGTATCTTTTTTGAAAAGAAAAAAGAATATTTTTACAACATTTGTTGTATTTTCTGGAATTTCTGAGCGTAACACTCACTTTTCGGATAACTATAAACTTGGTTTCATGGTATGATTCGGATATTCCTTCCCCAATGTATTTTGAAAAATAGTGCTCTAATGAGAGAACATAACTTCTGGCAATTAATAAAAAACAAGTTCTTTCGTTGTTTTATCGGCTGCGGGTCGTACTGCATGAGAAGAAGTATCCAAACCGTATTGAAAAGTGTACGCGTTTGCTTTTCCCAATGTAGTTTGAAGTTCATCGAGTAATTACAATTGCAAGCCGCAGCTCATGGGTTTGCACTGCAATTAGTCATGACACAAGCTGAAGTGATAGTATACGAGATGTCCGACATTGCAACTGCAATGAAGGGTTCAAAAGAAAAAAATCAATATTTTTATTATACTTCTATCTATCAGAGATAAAGGTATAATAAAGGACTAATATTTACACCGCGCACTATCATTCGACTTCTGTCATAGACAACTATCATGCAAACTCGTGAATAAAAACTCGCGATTGTCATCGTTCGATGGACTCCTAATTTCATAAAAAAAAAAAACGTTTTGCAAACGAGGCTACATGAATTCTCACTCGGTAAAAAATATCATCCGCAAAGTCAACCGTTCTAATGATTAGTGGTTGTCATTAAATAATTAGCTATCTTTGAATAAAGATAAGATCAACGACTTGCTTAGTCGTATGGCATCAGTATCTTCATCGAGTTTGCTTTATATATAGAATTCGCGATTGATTCTATTCGTGTGGCAATGCTCTGCTGCAGCTGATCTATTACTTCAGACTTAACATTCCACCAGTTCTGTTTCAGATGTTTATTTATGTTTATGGATACATTGCGGACTCTGTCTATTTTGTCAAAAAAATAGTCGTTCCATCCAATATCCAAATTCACTTCGACACTACGTACTCGGAAATGTTCTTTTACGTCATTGTTTGCATGATGTTTCTGATAAAATTCACCCTCTAAAATGACGACGATTTTATTGCGTGTAAGTTCAGCTGACATTCTGTTACGGCTTGGGGATGTTGTTATGTTCATTCCCATTATATTAGCTTTCATATAGTACATAGCTTCCATTTGAAGGTTTGAGAATAACGCGTCAAATTTAATTTGACAGAAATCAGGTGCTATCCTGGAAACAACAGTTTCAAGCTAGTTTTGTGCTTAGCTGCTTATAATCCGCCATCGAATTCACGATGTGGATCGTTTCGGCTGAATAAGTCTATTATTCCATTTGTCGTACGTTAAGTATTGTCGAATGTGCTAATTGATTGTTGTATAGAGAATATCTTAAATCACTAATTTTCTATTGCTCTCGTCAGAGGCTTAGTTGAAATCTTACTTTCTTATTATATAAACGTGGCATAAAAATTGAGTCTGGAACTTTTTAGTTTTTTATCAACAATTCCCTACATTATTTTGTATGATTGTTTTCTCAATTTCCCGTTAGTATAACTTTTGCTGATGATTCTAAAAGTGCTAACGCGCGGTGCAGAGATCTGAGCACTGTGCTCACAGCGAGAACAGATATGTCAACGCAAATCACACTGTTACCAATCTCAAGCTTTACTTTGGCACATCGACAAATGTTTTAATGCATTATTTCGTTTATACAGAACTGTATTGAGATGCGATGATAAGTAAATCTTTGTTAAATTTAATTTAATCATTCCTGTAAAATTTATTTACTACATTTATTGCACATGAAACTTTCGGATAGCAGCATGTGTCAACATCGCAGTATAACAGTGACGTTCGCGTATACACTGAAAAAACTATTTTTGTATTTGAAATTAAAATATTTGGTACATATACAATTTGGTTGGCGTTATATGTTTTTTACTTGTGTTAAGTTATTTATTGAGAAGTTATTTATTGAGAAAACAAAACATACATAACGGCAATTAAATTTTTTCGTTGCAAAATTACAAAATATTTGGTAATTATATTATATTATTAATATAATTATATTTATATTATTTGATTGGTTTATTGATCGCGTTTTAAGCAAATTATGATCCGATATACTAAATTTTTATCTTGATAACAAAATTTTTTCTCAGATTTTTTGCTCATATGAGAGCATTAACGTCAGTTCGTCAGTTGGACGAGAGCAATAAGACGGTTAATAACATTTCCTGCTAATCTCTTAAAAATTATCTAACTATGACACATACGATACAATACTTTTCGTACACATAAATACGCAAAAATTTAGTTAAAATTAACCAAATGTCTGGTAAAATATGAATGTATCAGAAATTCCGATTGAAGTTCAATTTTGTTCAAGTTTTCTAGCTAAATAGAAATCTGGTTTGGTTAAGCTCGTTAACTTGAATAGAATTCTGATAACTGCAACCAAAATTCTGATTTATTTATATTTCCCCAGACATTTGTGGTTAATCCAGCCAATTCTTTTTCCGTGCGACAAATGAAATATCAATTTAATGGTCAAGATCCTATATTATTCTTCGGGGATAATAAACCTGGGTTCGCGAATAAATTTCGCCCTTGTGTGTTAACCTTGTCAATCGCAATTACTTACCAACGATTTTTTATGGTATAGTCTGTTAGACCTTTGATCTGTATATTATAAAGCGACAAAAAGCCGTCAAAATGTTTCATTTTGTTAAACATGTAATATTCCTCTTCATAATACGGTTCATAACGCGAAAATAAAATCTTGTTGTTTTTCAAGTAATACTGCAACGATCGTATGCTGTCCTCTATACATGGTTGTAGGTGTAACAATGTTTGATTGCGTTTACATTTCCGCAGGAGCGGATCTGAGAACAGAATACACAGTGTTTGTAATTTCTCGGTTGTAGGTCAAAACGACATGAGTACGCTGAGAGAGAAATCTGAGTTTTAACTAATGGATATATCATTCAAGCAATATATCCGATCGATTTTTTCGATCAAATGTTAGGTCTGATAAAACGTAACTTGATCGAATGAGAAAAGAACGGTTTCTCTTGACTCACCTCATAAAATATTCGACCCGAAATTATCTGATAAGAGATGATACGCAAAAAAATCGAATGATAATGATGAAAATAGTTCGATATTACGATCAAGTTTTATGGAATATAAAAATTGATTGAAAATACCCATTTCTAAATTTTCATCAGTAGATTCGTTTGTTAAAACTCGGATTTTCTTTTTAGTACAGTACAATATTACATTTTGTATTTCTTGTTCCGCAAGGCATGTAGTTTGTTGAAAAAAAAAAATCGACTCGACAAATATTTGCGATTTCAAAATATATGACTCTTAAAGGATGGGATTTTAGCCGTAACGCAAAAACAGAGATACAGATATTCGCTATCGTTCGAGAAAATGAATTTGTTGTGATGGTAGGGTTACTTACACCAGTCAGTCTCGTCGCCTGACCTCACTGCGACTAATCCGCTTATAACGAGAATTGCGAAAATGACACGCATTGTAGTTTGCGACGAAGTTCTTGGTTGAATTGAAACTTAATGATGCCGGGCGACTCTGACGTTTAAATAATTTCCCGACTAATTGGCAATTCAACGACAAGTAACCATCCAGTATTATTTTCAGTGCCGTATCTGCCGTTGATCTGCCGTTGATCTGCTCGTCCGAGTATATTCTGAACATATATTTTGAACACGATTATCACGTATCAGTATGATGTAAATCACGTGGTTTAGTAGCAAACCGAGGTACCCTTCGAGAGAATAATAAAAAAACTGACCGAAACAACACGCGCCGTAAATCACATGATTTTCAAGATCAGCCTTCCTATCTGGAAGAAAATCATGTATCGGTTCGAGTTACATCTTTGTTTATTTTAACAAATTGCGAACTCGAGGCGAGAATCAACGTTTTTAGTTTGAAAACGTTGAAAACGGCTCATTTGTTCTTTTAGGAAAACGACACGCGATATATCAGTCAATTCTATTTATTATTTCGCAAAATAGAATATACTGAGAACAAGAATGTTTAAAATGTAACAAATATTTCCTGTGCGAGTATTACTAACATCGATTTCTGTGTAAGATCGCATGAACTACGTCTCCAAGGCTCGTATTAAAATATTCGTTACATGAAAATTGTCCGACGTGAGATACTCAGATATGAATTCACAGTTAGATTTGAGTTTTTTACTTGAATCGCGCGATCGCGATTACTTATCGGACATTACCCACGAAATTTGTTAGACCGTAGATCCATGTATCCCTCAATTTAACACTCTCGCACAGATTTGCCGTGTTACTTACAATTAATAACTCATGGGTTTGTTTGTGACGTGCATAATTTTTTATTATGTTTATTCAAAGTACAAATAATTTTGTATTTTTTTTCTGTTGCGTTGATAAAAATGTCAGCATTATCAATACGTTGAAGGGAATTTTTTCTTTACCTTCAAGGAAAGAAAATTTGCTATTGTTTGTTGTCTCTTCTGGAATTTTTGAGTACGTGCATAATTACGTTTCGCGAACGATTCATTTCGTTGTATATTTTGGGCACTTCTTTCTGAATGCACTTAGGAAAACAGTCAATTCTCTAATGGGAGAACATAACTTCTGGGAATTAATTAAAAACAATTTCTCCCATTGATTTATCGGCTGCATTCCATATTGCATGGGAAAAATATCCAAACCATATTGAAAAAAAGTTTTAAACTCTTTTGCATACCGTTTATATACATGTTTCTTTTTCAATTAAAAGCGCATTGAATTATCACGATTGCGCACCACTACTCACGAGGTCGTATGGTAATCGGTTGGAACAAGAGCCAAAGTGATACTATATAGAGATATCCGTCGTTTTCACTACAACGTAGAATTCAGCAAAAATATAAGTATTTTTATTATACTTTTATCTATCATATAAAAATCTAATAAAAAGCTACTATTTACACCATGTACTATCATTCGACTTGTGTGATAAACGATTAGTTTGCAAGCTCGTGAGCAGTAGTGATGAGAAATTTTTCACTTAACTTCATCGGAAGAAATATTTTGCATACGATATTTGTACATAAAATCTTTGTCAATAAGAAACACTAAATCTAATGTCATGTAAAAAATTCACGAATTTATATCTTCTGACACGCAATGTTGACTAGCACGCTGTAGGCAGCACGATTCGCTGCATAAATCGTTACCGTATATTGGAACATTTACGCACTGGACTCAGCTATCTACAGCGTGGCGGTTAGCATGCACGTCAGAAAGCATAAAATCGTGTCTTGTGTAACGTTATTTTTAGTTAACATAAAACTGGCATCAATTTACCTATCGGGAATGTTAAATAAATCTTATTTGCGATATCTAAGATAGTACTGGAAGCTATACGCTCGATTTTGTACAGTATATCAGGTTCTGCTTCTTTCAAAAGGTGCTTCGCATAGTAAATTCTGTATTGCGGTAATATTTTGTCCTTTATTGTGTCTTTCAGGTCTATCTTAATGTCTCCGACGTTCAACTTCGTGGAGACATGATTTACTCTGAAAAATTTCTCCCCGTCTTCTTTGCGCCAAAAGAAGTTACCATATATAGTGATGTTGGCTGTAATGTCGATCAAATCTCCACTTATACGATATGTTTTTTTCATGGAAGTTTCCAACGTTTTACCTACTATTGTGTATGTACTGGCCATTGTAATTAGTGGAAAGTATATGTCAAATTTAAATTGATCCAAATTGGTAGAAAGTCTGAAAAGAATAGTTTCAGGTTGATTTCATACTCAGTGACTTATTTTTAGAATATATCTTGTGATGTGTGTGTATATATCTTAAGACCACACATAACGCATACACACGTATACATATTATATATATATATATATATATATATATACATATATATATATATATATATATATATATATATATATATGTATGTATGTTATGTGTGTCTTTAAGAAGATTGTTCTAAAACCAAAAGGAAAATATTTTAAGTATAATATTCTTAAAGTTAGAGGAATTTCGTCTTTGACCTACAGTATGAATCTTGTTCTTAATAGACATTTTTTATAGTAAGAATTTTTTTGCAGAAAGGTATTTTACTCCAATTAAACATATGTTGATTTGATTCGAAAAGAAAGAAGTTAGGATAACATGTAGTAGATTTGTAGTAGATTTGTAGTATATTTGTAATAGATTTCTGATTAATAATTCAATAGAAGAGAAATATTCTTTCGGTAAAAATTTTTGCTTAGAATCTAGGATTACAGGAAATAGCATCTTGCAATTAGAGTTCTCTTTTTAAGTGATAGAATATTTTTCTTTTGGTTTTAAAGGACTGCTATTGTATGAGACTATATATAAGGACTGCTATTGTATGAGACTATATATATACTAAAAATAAGATAACATTTTTTTGAATATCGAATTCGCGACACTCAATTTGTCTTAATTAGGTTATTGCTTCATATAGCTAGCATTGTTAAATAGATTATTTTTAAAGTTCGCAATAAGATTTCCACGAACACCATAGAAATTCTATATTTTACAATCTATGCGTCTGACACAACATTATCTGTTACGACAAATGTATGACAGATGAAATGTGTTAATATTACTGATATACAGGGTGTTCGGAAAGTACCGGGACGCCCGAATATCAGGAAAAATATAAGTTTTACAAAAAAATGTTTCAGACAAAAGTTGTGGCGTTTAAAAAGATGTATTTACTGATCACATCAGTTTGACCTTGGGTTGCGTAGCGAAGGTCAGGTCAAGGTCACATTAATTTTTTTAAATGGA